TGGTGGCCCAGCATAGCAATTTCTATTCTCTGGGGTGTGTGTGAGGGGGTGACTGCCCCAAGCTGGGATCACATGACCCTCTGCTGCAGCCAATGAGGGGCTGCTTTTCCACCACACAGCTTCTGCTGCCACACCCCTCAGCAATTTTGCTGGGCAATAGGATGCATCAGAAGCACCCAATTGTCTCCCAGAAGGGGCAGGGCAGCCTTAACTATTGGGCGGCGGGGGGTGGGGGAGGAAGTGCACCTTACCCATGTCACTGGCTCCTGGTGGTATCTTGAAAAATATAAGCAAGCTTGAGAGAACTTGAAGGTTTGCTGAACAGATCTTCAGGAAAAAAAAATACCCTGATAAAAAATGCCAGAAACGGATCTTTAGCTGGTCTCTTGTTTCTTAGCGGTGTGGATATGCTTTATTTTTTAGTTGCAATCCATTCTTCACCCTTTGCCATTCGTCATGCCATTCCTTCTGCACCATTTGCCTTCCTTTTATCGGTGCTAATAAGCCTGTCATTTTGAATCCTCTCACATAGCCTTATCTTCTTTTGATTCTCCCCTACAAACAGAACGATATTAATTGCGCCTCTCCTTCCTGCCTACTGTTTGAAAGAAAGAGAGAGAGAGAGAAATCTGCTGGTGTCATCACCATCCTTGCCTGCTGCAATGCAATTGATTTCCCATGCCAATAGCTGCACTGAAGGGTGTGCATTGGACCGCTTTGGGGAAGTCTAAAGTTTCAGTGCAGAGATTTTAAAAAAAATCCCAAGAGAGAGGCATCCAGCATTATCAGAATAGCTTTAAACTAAGGAATTAATTACCTGCTGCCCATGACTCCCACCATAGACCTAGCTTGGCTCAAGCTCTACCTTGCTGGAAACCAGGAATGTAGAGTGAACCTATCTTTCATGAATCTGACTGTTGCCTGTGTGGTCATGTGTTATGGTGGCGCAGCGTGATTGCAAATAGATGGCAATCTCCTCCAAGTGGAAGGGTGCAAACAAATAACTATATGTCATCTGTATGCAAAGAAGCACTGTCCACTTGCAGCTCCATATGGCACAAATCAAAGAATATCAGCATGAAGGAGCAAACCCATAGGCATAAACAAGCTGCCAGGAAGGAGTAAACCCATGGGCACAAACAAGCTGCTAGACTATCTTGAGAAACATTTCTCAAGGTAGTCTAGAAAGGTGTGCCTGGTTTTTACTCACTGCCTGTTCCTCAGGATTTGGTTTTTGACTTACGTAATGTGAGGCCACATTCTCTGCCTAGAATTGTGGAAGTTAGCTTGCAAATGTGATTGGCTTAGCATAAGAGATATGTGATCGTATAGAGTTGTGCGTTGTTGTTTTTTAATCTTGTTGCAAGTGTGATAAAGGTGGTGAGATCTGATGGGAGCGGCAGTGCTAGGGGAGAGTGTGTCGACCATCTGCCCACCCCCTAATCTGCCCACCCAGTCTGCTAGTTGCCCTACAGGGCAAAACATGACAGCACCACACAAGTAGCAAAGGGAAATCAACAGCGTCCCTGATATGACAGTCTTCTAAATGCAGCAGGACAAATAATTGTTGCACAGCATAGCTTTTCAGAAAAGATGCAATCTGTGGCTTTGATAACATCATGCACAGCTGGCCTTTTCCTCTCCTCCCCTTTTATGCAAACAACACTTTGCCCTCCAGTGAGCTGGATACTCATTTTGCTGACTTTAAAAGGAGTCAACCTTGAGCCAGTTACCTGAACCCATCACAATTGAACTCAGATTGTGAGCAGAGGCTTGACAGCAGTACTGCAGTTTACCCAATGTGCCCTGGGGGGCTCATAAATTCACAGTTTCTGGGTTTTCTAGGTAGGTAATACACATAAATGGCTTACTATTCGTTTATTCCAGGGGCACTCTGCACCTTGCCCAAGGCCACCTATACCGGCACTTCTCCTAGGAGGCACAGAGAAGAACTGAACTCTGAACTTCTGGCTCCACAGCCAGACTCCTAAACCACTGAGCTATTCAGCCATCCAGGATTAAAAGCACAATAAAAGCAAGATGTTCCCACGGACCTATAGTCTTATGTTAAAACTTGCAGGGAAGTTTCAGGCCAACATCTCAGACATTTACAGTTGTGTTCAGAAGATCACAGTAAATTTTAACTAAAGGGGTGTTACATGATGTGCCCACAGTGTCAGTAGTAAAGAAAAGAATACCTACTGTCCACAAGATGTAAGAATCAGGCCCAGCCCTATTGTTAGGCAGAGCAAAGTGATTGTCTTTAGGTATGGTGAAAGAGCTATAAGAGTGTCAGGGATCAGGAGAGGTGCCTGTGAGATTTTCTGACTCATTATCCAAAACGACATGGCCAGCTTTGCTTACTCGTTGCCTTGAGTATGGATCGGGCAAATGAACAAGGCCATTTAAAATGTTCTTGGCCAGACATGGTAGCAATATATCAGTTTTAAGCATATGGTCCAGATATTGTTCTTTCTCTGCCCTCTGGCTATGTTTTTTTACAACATTTTTAGTACAGCTGTGCATTACATCGTGGAGAAAAATCCCTCCTCCCGGTTGTTCATCCATAATTATTGCAATTCCCATGCAAAATGGACGTACACAAATGCCACTGCTGCCTATGCTCTGTGATGCCACAAGTGACCAGAACTCATCTCCTTCCTCCCTCATGCACACAATTTGGTGAATCTCATGCGTAATGACAGAGCTTGGAAAAATTGTGCACTTGGAAGACAAGTTGCAGAATCTCTCTGCCAGCATTTGTAGTCCACAGAAATATATTTTTTGTGTGCTGTGTATAACGGGCATCATCTTGTCAACTGTAAGCACATTTATAGTTCCTTCAATTTCAGTTGGGTATTTATACATTTAGTTCAGGGGAAGGCTTCATACAGTACTCCAAACGCAGGCTCTAGCACCTGTGGGCCCATGGTATCTTCGCAGTCCAAAAAAAACCCCACGCTTAATTTTTTTTTAAAAAATGTCTTTTATAATGTTTGCTTTTTAAAATGGTTTCCAAATGTTTTTGGTCACTAGAGCAGAGGTTGTCAACCCCTGGTCTGTAAATGTTTTTGGTCACTAGAGCAGAGGTCGTCAACCCCTGGTCTGCGGCCTGGTGCTGGTCCGTGGCCTGAGCAGGACCGGGCTGCGAAGACAGACCTCCCACTCAACCTGCATGCAGTCCCCTCCCCACAGCTGCTTTGCGTACATGCGTGCATGCCAGCACCGGCGTGAGCACTCCCCCACCCCTTCACACATGCACCCGAATGCCCGAGCGAAGGGGTGGTGGGTGGGCAGGTGTGCAGGCGCCCCTGTGCATGCGTGAAGGGGTGGGGGAGCGCTCATGCTGACATGGATGGGCGCTCCCCCTCCGCTTCGCACATGCGCCCTAGAGCGCGCGTGCACCTGCGCACATCTGTAGGGGGAGCCTGGTTTAAAAAAACCACCAACACATTTTTTGTAAAAAAAATTAAATGGGGGTTTTGGTTTTTATGGCAACCCTTTTCAGGGTTTTCTATGTAAAGAGTTCTTAGGTTACCATTCTGGGGGCATCTGGGGACTGTGCAGCTTGTCAAAGGCCACACAGGCTGGAGCTTCTGGGATGCACAGAGGGGAATTGAACTCCCAACGTCTGCCCTTCATTGAGATGCCTAACTCACTGAGCTGTCCAGGCAGCTTTACTTAATTATGGATCATAGGAGCCCCTAAGGTCCAGGGGTGGGTATTTTCAGCCTCTGGACCTGTGGAAGATGCCCAGCCCTGACAAGAGTTAATTCTTCCATTTTAATCTTAAACGACACTTTAAAAAATTAATGTTTAGGGACAGCCGCACTGTGCTTCTTGGTCATTCATTTTTCTCTTTAAAACAAACTACTGAACTTATAGATATTTGCTTCCTACTCTTCCATTCAAAGTGAGAGTAAAAGCGAAGGCTTAGAATGTGAGTTCAGCCAGCGATATCAGGGTCAAATTTCTCCTTATCAACAAATCTATGTACAAAGTGGCCTTAGGTTTTTCTCTCCCCAACTTCTCACCTGTGGTGTGTGATGATATGATTGACCTACACACTTGTTTAAAGATCACTGCATCAGAAGTGTTTTAAACACTTTGAAGTGTTACAGCAATTTGTATTTAATTTGTTCCAAACCAAGTTATGTTTAGAATAGAGCTGTTGAAATCAACTGACTTACCAGTCCATCAGTTTCAGTGGCCCTGCTGTGAGGTATGACTCTGAACCCAATATTGAGATTTTACATCAGGATGCAGTGGCTTTGGCCCTCTCCATGTAGCTGAAGTACAATCCTTTCATTCCTGACCATTGGCGTCTTGGTTGAAACTGACTGGAGTGGAGTCCAACTGCATTCTAGAGTGCTACAAATTCATCTGTGGTCTTAAAACAGCATGAAATATCTTTTAAGAACTGGGCAGCAGTGGATTCTGTGTTCGAATAGACTTTTTTATTTTTGATTGATTGATACAAACAGTACATCAAAATAGAAGCAAGTGTTTGGTTCATACCTTGCTTTATTCCACTTTAGGCAGTGGAATAAATTATGTAGAATAACTAAATATATATCAAGTTTCCTGATTTACATAATACTTTTAGGTGAAAAATTTCTTTCCGCCTAGGATGAAGCACTTAATTTATTCATTGGTATGCAGATTGCCCACAGCTTCCCTTAACAAAACCCTTGATACCTTTTGTGTTTTCTTTTTCACATTTATTTTTTTCCTGCAGTGAAGCCTCATATCAATGTCTACCTGTTTTAATGCCTTTCTGTGTAGCACCCACCAACCATTCCTATTTATTTTATTGAATTCATTGCTTCTGTTATTAAAAAAAACCATTGGGAGGGGACTTTAAACAAACCAACTAAAAAAACCTGTAACTTATCACACAGTTTAAAGTCAACTGTTTGCTCAAAACAGAATCTTAATGGTATTTTTGTTGTTGTTCTGTTTTTGTTTTGTTTTGTTGTTTTGTTCTTTTTGTTTGTTAGCAACCCAACTACTGGAGCTTTAAGGTCAGTACTTCCAATTTTCCCCCCACACACTTTTGTTTAAAATAAATGCATGCGCTTTTCCACCCTTTCTCTGTATTTCTTTTCTTTTTAAAATTTCCTTTGTGCGCTGACAAGTTTGGGAGGGGATTTAAAAGATCTGCTTCTTTTGTCCCTTTTTCTTGCACCAGATTTCTTGTTTCGAAGAGCAATTTCTTGCTTTAAATATCCCAGATACTTGCTTTATATATCCCAGATATATATAGCTGGTCCTACCTTTGGGGAGAGTGGGGCAGCTGCTGCAAGCAGCAGATTTTGAGTGTTGTGGAACAGACTAACACATTATTATCTGTTTAATTTATTGCTATTGTGTTTTTACTGGCAGAGAGAGCAACCTGTGGGGATTTTCTGTCTCTATTGTCCAAATCATATGAGCAGCAGGGAGACATCTTCAACACTGAGTTGAAGGGGTGCAGCATTTCCTTCTTTGCCTCAGGCAGCAAAATGCCTTGGGACAACCATGGAGTTATTGGAATGTTCCATAAAGTTACTCCTGTATCTAGAAATGCAATGCAGTAATTTTTAAGAGCAAGAAAAATACTACAAGAGAAACACAGAGACATTTCAGACAGAAATATATTTTTTTCTTGACTTAAAAATTGAAACAACACTGTGAGGCTGCTCCTTGAAGTCAAGGAATGGCACAGGGAAGGAAGGGAAGTTTAACCCTTCTATCAGCCAAATGTTTGATCAAAGCTATTCCCAAAAGCTGGTGCGCACATGTGTGTGTATGTGTGTATGTATAATGTCAAGCAGACAAGTAGCTCACAAGGAATAAGTTAAGCACTTCAGTGCACTCACAGTCAGTCTCAGTATCTTGAAGTTGCTTTTCATTTAAAAAAGCAAAACCATCAAGCAAACAAAGCAAGGAGAAATACTTCTGTATAAAACAACTTTTGGTTGAAATGCATGATCACAGCTGGTAATCTTAATTCCAAGCCTGTCCTGCACAATCTTTTGTTTTTGGAAGTGCTATGACAGGTGTGGGACCTTCTTACTGGAAACCCTTGTGCAGGAAAAAGCAATACATTGCTCTACTGTTCACATAGGGAAACCTGTGCAAGAAAAAGCAATACAGTACATTGCTCTACTGTTCACATAGGGAAACCTGCAAAAGTTCCAGCTGCATATGGACAATAAAGGCATCCTATACTGTATATGTTATCAGAATAAAAATGCCTCCTGACTGCATAATGCTTACCTACTAAATGTGGTAATGTAATGTGGGGAGAAACAGTAGCAGACAGAGAGGGAAAGACATCAAATGTAATAGTCTTTTTGCTTCCAAAAAGGTCTTTGACTGCAGCTACTGCTATCTGTTCTTTTTAACAGAAGTTGGCAAGAGTTGAATACCAGATGTTTCCAATGCAAAGCGCGTTCTCTGCTGCAGCTGTGGCTGCCCCCACATGTAGAGGCAAGGCGAGCATAAGCACAAAAGGACAGGGATTTGTTTGCATCCCTGGAAAGCAGGCACTGTGGCTGTTCCCTGTGTGGCTAATCAGCCTGTGCTCCAAGCCAGTCATGAGAATCCTTTAGCTGGAGTAAAGTCTTGCATATGCCACTAGCTGACCACCTCTTTCATGTGAAAGATCGTTCCCCCAGCTTCCAAATAAAAGGAACTCTGGACACTGTACTTGTATTCCACCCTGAGATCTCAGGTTATTTGGGGGTGGGGTATGAATGACCTAAATACAGTAGTTCCATAGTTTACCATGGAGTATTCTTTGGAAACTTTCAATTCTCAGTATTATTTCTAATAAGGCATGAGAGCACATGTCATTTCAAGCGAGTTGTATATTGCAGAATTTCATAAGAAAAATAACAGGTCCTAGTGACTTCTGATCTAAATGTCGATAGTGAGGGATGAAAGGTCACATAATAATGTATTACAGTTTGAACAAGTACAGATTTGGACCATGAAGTTGATTCCTAATGAAGACTAAACATGCAGCATAAATTTAATCACGGTTTAAATATGCGGTGTCCCATGGTCTTTAATTTACATCTAAATGTAACTAACTTTGACAAAGTGATAATAAATAGCCATGTCAGCACAACAGTTCCCCGTCTTTTCTCAGAGCTAATTAGTCACAATCAATACATATCCACAATACCTTTTCAGGAACAATTTGTGAGTCAGAAAATAGCAATATGACAGGCAGGTCTCACCTCAGCAATGGGGCTGATTTATATAAACAAGGGACAAATTACTGTAAATGCAAAAATAAATGCATACATTCTAAGATATATCGTTTGAAGTAACAGCTTCATGTTGTTTCATGGCAAGACCAGTCCTCTGTCTTGGATCTCACAGCTTAAACATCACTTCTGGTCTGCCTTAGTGAGAAAAATGAGCCAAAACAGTACTCTTTTAATTCTCTGCTCATCTTGTGCTAGAGGGAGTGTAAGGCCTTGGGGAAAAAGAAGAGCGAGTGCTGGTGGTAATAGTGGTGGTGAGAAAGTACTATTGGTGGTAGCTTTTAAGGGCAATAAAAAGACGGTAACCAGAACAGGATATATTTTGTGCCAAGGTGAATAAACAAGGGCACGTGTGTGTAACACTTACAGAAGCCCACCACTAGGCTGTATCCTGGGATTATCCAGTGACTGTCTGTTCCCCAACATTTCTTTGTTGCAGGAATCTCTTTGATTGTTGTGTAGTGGATTAATTAAGCCACTATCCAGCTTCTCCAGACCCTGTCCAGTAATGGCTTATGAAACACTTGTATGGACATGCCCTCTCACCCTTGTACACTTCTGGCATGGAATGTCCCTGAGTGGATTAAAATCAGCATAAATTCTGACCATTGCTTGGAAAAGTTCCTTTTGTGACTGGTTGTGGGATTCTGGTACTTAAAAAGTCACTTTCCTGGCCTCTGGATTCCGTCTGGAAGCTCAAAAGACTGCAGTGCTCTTAGAATGTGCTGAATTCTTGTGTAAGTGCTGAACAGGAGAATATCTGTATAGGCTTGGATGTAGGCCACACAACTTTCCATGTTCGCAAAGACAAAGTGGGAATATATACTTCCAGGCATAGATAAAAACAGCCTGAGAAAATAAATGGAGAATTACTTTGTGGTTTGGGAACTGGAACAATGCCTGCTGTGAAAACCCTACAACTCACTGGCTTGAGTGAGCTTGTGAAAGAGTTGTACCATATCAGAATATAGGCAGAATGTTACATTTTAAAATTTCCTTGGTTACTCATTACTTCTCAGCAGCCAGTTTGCTATTATCTTGCAGTTTCTGTGCTCGCTTGCAATTTGTTGCACTGTGTATTGTTAGTATGCCCCTTGTTATTGGTAGCAAGCAAGAAAAATATGGGAAAATATCCTCAAGTTCTGATAATGCATCTTGGAAATGTAGGATTTTATTTAATATTCCTGTATGTATTAAAATAGAGTATTGATGCTTTTGAATTGTGGTGCTGGAGGAGACTTTTGAGAGTCTCCTGGACTGCAAGGAGAACAAACCTATCCATTCTAAAGGAAATCAACCCTGAGTGCTCACTGGAAGGACAGATCCTGAAGCTGAGGCTCCAAAACTTTGGCCATCTCACGAGAAGAGAAGACTCCCTGGAAAAGACCCTGATGTTGGGAAAGTGTGAAGACAAGAGGAGAAGGGGACGACAGAGGATGAGATGGTTGGACAGTGTCACGGAAGCTACCAACATGAATTTGACCCAAGACAGGAGGGCCTGGCATGCTCTGGTCCATGGGGTCACGAAGAGTCGGACACAACTTAATGAATAAACAACAACAATTAAAATACTGCACAGAAGACAAAAGATATAACCCTTGCCGTTTTGGATTGATAGAACAGTAGCATAAAATTTGAAAAACTTCTGGCTAAAAGTGTACACTTGGATTTCAGAATGTTTCCCTTCCCTCACAACATGTAATATCTCCTTACACATGGAAAAGTACTGCATCCCAAGAGAAGGTTTTTTGGAACAAGAAACTTTCCTGACACACTGATTTTCTGTATGCAGAGATTTAATTTACAGTCTGGCTGATTTACTGATTATAGAGGAGCATTTTGTCTTGCTAACATCCATCTGCTTTGGGAGCAATAAGACTCAGACACAGATTTACCACCTTAGTTAAGACCAAGCCAGAGTCATGGGGAAATTATACAGGATGGACTTGGCAATGTCTGGATATGATGATAGTGGTAGCAGCAATGAGCATCAGGGATGTCTCCGTACTCAGCATGCTGCTGTTTGCTTCCTCCAAATAGCATCATTTCTATTTAATAGAAAAGATGTTATAGGAAGAAAGTTGTCAGTAACAGAGAGTTATCTATCCTTTCTGCGATTTCTTGGAGAGAAGATGATGACAGCTAGGTTGATTTACTTTATAATTCAGACATTTTGGCTCTCACAGTTGGCTTCAGATTCTAAACTTTTGAGGACCGCCAGGTACAAAATTCAGGAGACGGCATGGAGTGCTATGTTAGTCCAAGAATACAGGATTATTTGCCAAATGGACGAGTGGAAAGACCTGTATAATTTTATGTAGAAATAGATCATAATTCAATAAGTTATTTATTGTATGTGAGGAAGAGTTTTGTAAGACTCAACAGCTTGCATCCTTTTGCTCCTCATGTCAATAAAAAGCTCTCTTTTATCTGCAGGAAACTCTCTCAGGGAGGTCCCATTTTGCTATTAAGGTATACTTGCCCTGTACAGTACTAATGTGTTGAATCTAGTTTAAAAACTATCTGTGGCTGATGCCATATCTTGTGGCAGGGAATTTATAAACAAATTATGTATCTTGCTCAGAAGTGCTTCTTCTGTCTGTCCTAATTGTTCTGCCAATCCATTTCATTTGGTGACCCTACGTCCTAGTACTGTTGGGGAGGCTGGAGGTGGGGGGTGGATCTCTTTTCAGTTTCTTCAAAGCTGTCTCAGTTCTTGTGTTTTTTAAATAGGCACAGTAGCCTCTTTTAGTCTTCATAAATTG